GCCTCCTTAAAAATGGACTGTGACAGATCTTTCAGAGTATGTCTCAAGGGAAAATGGAAAGTGTGTGGGCACTCTCTCACTTTTAGGGAGATGACCTTATCTATGCCTCTGCAACCACTTAGTGAAGACCTGAGAGGCTGATGACTATAAGTTTAGAATATATATGGGTTCTAAAAAACCTAGCTCTAAGTAGAATGAGCTTTAAGTTTCTTGGACTCTTCTTACAGTCTAAACTCTATTGGGCTTTAGTGAAAGAGCAAAAATCAACAGAAAGTTCAGTGTCCCAGTATAACCGGTACAGAACACATTCATCATCATAGATTCGCTAATAAAAGTGGATGTATAATTTCTTGTTTTTCTATAGAAAAATATGTCAATAATTGTTCATTCAGTCTAGTGTTTCATGCAACTTTAGGTGTCCATGCCTTGTTCAAGTGTTTATGATAGGACAAGCCTATCGATACAAAAGGAAGAAACAGAACGAGAGGATATAGAGATGAGAAGGAGAATTTTTTTATTCAGTAAACTGAAGATTACAAATCCAAAAGTCCCTCAAAGACTTTCCCTTTTCCTATTTATAGCTTTTCAATAGAAGCTCATAGATCCTTCTTGACAAATAACCCACACTACTCTCTAATGGTATACAAAGTCATAACAACAAACAGAATGCAGCAATTACATTGGTAACAAATTATATTATCATGACTCCCAAACTGCTAAAATAGCTCCTACCAAACATAGTTTTCAACATCGAACCTTGTAGGCCTTCTTCTAGTCCTTCTCAGTCTGTCTTCATCATGAGTTGTTTCCTTTCGGCTTCTTTCCTCTTTTTCTACCATGCTTTGCTGTGATTGCATCTCTTCAACCTTAGATCTCTTCTTCTACCATGCTTAGGCAAGTATTTGGTTCAGCTGAAGGTGGATTTGGACTGTGTATTGGGTTTGAGAGATTTGTTGTTGGACTTGGGCCATATCAATTTACTTATACAATAAGGTATTAGTTCTTTTCATGCAGCTTTAATGATTCAAGCGTCTTACGTGTCAATAATTGTTCCTCATCGCTTCCATGTGTGATCTCAAGTTTATAACATATTGTATTAATAAGTAATTTAAAAAAAACATGGTAATTTAACATGAGATTCAAACTCTCTTAAGTATAATTTCTTTAAATTTAACATTTTTTTAAAAAAACTTTTGTAGTTTTTTTCTTAAAGTTAAAAAGAATAATTTCTAAAACTATTATATCATAAAAAAAATTAAAACATTCTTATTGTTAATAACAAGAATCAAACATAGGCCTTAAAAACAAAGTTTTTCGTCAAAAAAAAAAAATTGTGTTTCGATCCTCTATCAACTGAACCGATTTCTCTCTTTAAAAGTTTAGGGAAAGGTGAGTTATTATATCGTACGTCAGAACTTGTCCTTCATCCTCTTTGAGACATATAGTCTCGCTTCTAATTAACGTGGAGTTTATAAAGTCTTGGACACTCTCAATATTCTTGCTTTTTGAGCTAGCTTTTGAGGTGGTGTATCACAAAGTTCTTTACATGGTATGAGAGCTTGAGCTTGAGTGATTATAATGTCACAAGTTCAATCCTCACTGCCCCACTCTAAAGAGAAATTAAAATAAAAACACAAAAAGGTAAATAAAAAATTAGACCTGTGCAATATCCACGCTTCTAATGTGAGGGAGCGTGTTGAGATATATAATCCTACATTAATTATATGTCCAACTAATATGAAGTTTATAAAATCCTAAACACTCTACCATTTAAACTAACTTTTGGAGTGGTTTATCCATGATTCTTTACACATCCACGAAAAAGGAAAGAATCATTTCAATTAACAGAAGCGTTTGCGTGTGGCCTTCTTCGGGTAAGCCTACTGGAGTACTGGTAAATACCAACGGAAAAATAAATAAACATCTTATTCTTACCTTTATTACATTGACGTCTTCTTACTTTATGCTCATAATTTAGCAAAAAGTCTCACTCACAACACCACCTGTTACTAGCCGTCGCTTTGGCATCTTCCTTCAATAATTGGTTTTCATTTATTGGATTCACGGGTGCTTCATGTTAAAAAGAATTTACGACTAGGTATAAACAACTCCCTACTTTATCTACCGTACGACAACATTTAAAGTGCATGGGACAGGGTCATAAGAATTAACGTGACGTTTCAAAAGTACGACAACAAATTAAAAATTCACACTTATTTTTTAAAAGAATAACAAATTAAAAATTCTTTTATAATTATTTTTTTTAGATTTCATCCGGATATTCACAGTCGATAGCCATGAGACTAATCTCTCTCCTCGGATCAGCACACAAAGCGATAAAAAGCTGGTCACAGAATACTTTTCATTCACAAGAGTTGGGGTTTGAACCTCCAACCAATTGCTTAAAGAACGAGATGCTGAACCATCACGTCCACCCACATGATTCTTTTATAATTATAATTACATACAAAAGTAACTTTTTTTTAATCCTTTTTTTCCTTTAATATGTGGATTTATTCTCTCTCTATGGTATATCAGTATATAGAACATAAGGTGAATTAAACATTATGTTCCGAGTCACGGGAACTTGTATTGGTGTAAGTGTGTGTAAGTACACACAAATTTTTGGGGGAAAAAAGAGAGTATATTTTGTGTTCTTAACAAAAATTTAAAATTATAAAATCCAATTTAATCTCTTAAAAGAAAAAAAAGTCAACTCTCGGTCTTTCTGAATTCCAAAATATACCCGGTTAATTGAATTTGTGATTCCTCTGAAATTCAAAAAAAAAAACCTACGTTAGTCCCTCAAAAAAGACTATCATGAGTCTATTTTGAAATTCAGAGAGATCACGAGTCAATTTTTTTCTAAGAGATTAAATTGAGTCCCGTGATTTTTGTTGAAGACTAAAAAGGTACTTTATTTTTGTAGTAAGTTCCAGATTTTTTTTTGTTTATATTCTTTTTATTTTTTAATATATTTAAAATTTTCTTTAAAAAAATTCAAGGGCATTGTCACCGAACCTCATTCCTAAATGTACAGACATAAATAAAATTGTTTGAGTCCTCCCCGGTTTCGAGGCATGGAAATACGGAATACCGTGTTAATGATACCAATTTCCTTGTATTAATACTAGCATAACAATTCTACATTCTTTTGTATACAAATTATGGTTTCCAACACTGTTAATTTACAATTTGAAGCCTCTTGCTATGAAAATGATTTTAACTTGTTAAATTTGTTTTCCATAGCATATTTTTGTTGACACGATTTTTCATTAATTTTTAAAAAATATATCAAATATTTTAATTTTTATGCATTATGATGGAGTCATTTAACACATATTTATGCCAATGACAAAGACATTTCAAGATACTTAGAGGGTATCTAGTTTTGACTTTTGGCAACACCTGCATGATGCTTTTCTTTCCCCTTTGTGCTGATGAAAAAGGAAAAGAAAGAGATGTAAAAAATACACAATTCGACGAATTTTTAATTCATTCAAGTTCCGTGTTTATAAAAATCATGTGTTATATATTTGTCCTATCATCAAATACCAAATAACTGTAAAATCAAAATTCCTCGCTTTGGTTGGGTCTCTTAAGTATTTGTGTGGTCGAAATTTTCAAATATTGTGTTTGATAAATTTGGAGAAGTTTTAGCTTTTACTATATATATTTACTTGCCAAGACATTTCCACGTATGGTCATTCTAGCGAAATCCATTATGTAGGAATTTTTTTTTGGAAAAGTTCACCAATGTCCCTGTGATTTACCTCAGAATTATCAATGCTTCTGTGATTTTTTTTTATCACATATGCTCCTGCGCTTTGTAAAAAATAAAAAATCACAGGGAATATGTGATAAAAAATATACCCTTTTGCAGGGACATATGTGATAGAAAAAAAACCACAAAGACATAGGTGATTCTGAAGCAAACCACAGGAGGAGATGAACTTTTCCTTTTTTTTTTTTTCGCTCAAACACTTATTTGTGGGTTCAAATTCATTTTCTTACTTTCTATTTCAGGATTTAGCCGAAATTTTACGCGTATTACTAAAGCTTTTTTATTTTATTTTAAGTAAACAACCCATTAAATTATAGGGATTAACGGTTCTCAGAGATAAGATACGCTATCTCATTCATAAAAGAACCTCTTATTTTGTGTTGTCCACGCCAAATGTTAATTAAAATATAGATAATACTACTCTCATTTAATATCAGAGAAGTTTTTTTTTCCATACTAACAAGAAATGTAGAGCCCACAAGTTAAAAAAAAAAAATTACAAGCATGTTTTTGTATATTTATGTGACATGAGATAATTATCTCCTATAGTTGAAAAAATATTTTCCCTTAAAATATATAAGTAAAAATACATTCACTTTTAAATTTAACAACATACGAGCTTAGAGATACAAAAGAGAACCTCTCATTTTGTGCTGTTCACGCCAAATGTTAATTAAAATATGGGAAAATATTTTCTCCTAATGACTCATAATATAAGTGAGGTCCACAAAATAGTGGAGAGAAAAAAAATTTCAAGGTTAAACCCACTTATGCTATGAGTCACTAACATAAGAAAAAATTTCTCCTTTGAAAAGAGAAAATTTTTTCCCTTAAAATATATACGTTAATACATTCACTTTTAAATTTAAAAATTCACGTGCTTAGAGATACATAAGAGAACCTCTCATTTTGTGTTGTCCACGCCAAATGTTAATTAAAATATATAAGTAAAAATACATTCATTTTTAAATTTAACAAATTAAAAAAATATTATATCTTAAATTAAATAAAGTTACTAAATAAATTTTTATTCACTAACTTTAACGCTTAATTAAAAAAAAACTATGGGCTTTATACTTTCCACAGTTTATTTAAAAAAAAAAAAAAAAAAAAAGAGTGATACACTATGGGCAGTGGGAGAAGTTACACTCACACTTACACCCCATATTTATATCTTGTACGCATCGTAAATAGGGAATAAAATTAAAAAGAAAAAAGAAGTGCTCGCTTCACCGTTCACTCCATCTCCACTAAGACTAGAACCTTCTTCTCCAAGCCACAATGCTCTGTAAACGTGTTTCCCTTTTTGATTCTCTTCACATAAAAACCTAAGGGAATTTGCTCTCTTTTTATAGCAACCAACCCTCTCTCAAAACACTCCACTTCCCAATACACAACTCAAATCACTTGAGAGAGTTGAAAGTTTGCAACTTTTTCCAAACCAAAATGTTTCAGTTTCAACCCAAACAGTTTTACCTCATTCACCTCACATGGGTTCATATGCTCCTTCTCCTACTGCAGCACCAACATGTTGCTGATGCACAGTCAACCATGGAACCAGTTCCCACATATATGTCTCACCATAATTGGGAACCTTCTTTTGCAATCACCGTTGGAGCCATCATCTTTGCCCTTCTCTTCCTTGGAATCATCTCAATCTACATCCGAAACTGTGTTGGTTCACGCATCATCATCACACAATCAAACCCAACATGTTCTTGTTCACAAGGGATCAACAAGGAACTCCTCAACACTTTCCCGGTTCTCTTATACTCCACCATCAAGCACCTCAAGATCGGAAAAGGAGCACTTGAATGTGCTGTGTGCTTGATCGATTTCAAAGACAACGACACCCTCAGGTTGCTACCCAAATGCAACCACGTGTTCCACCCTCAATGCATTGATTCATGGCTTGCTTCTCACGTGACATGCCCTGTTTGTCGTGCTAATTTGTACCAAGATTCATGTCAAGTTTCCATAACAGTGACGACCCTTTTGAGCACTGATCAAATGGGTGTCGAAAGTCCTGAAACTCATGATGCTGAAGAAAACCAAACAGACCCAAACCCAAACTCAAACTCAAACCCAGATTTGCATAACTTGAACGAAGGTGAGGGTAATGGTGATGGTGGGGTTGCCTCAAAATTGAAGCTTTTGAGGTCAAATTCGACGGGTCATTCACTTGTTGAGGAAGGGAAGTGTATGGACAGGTACACGCTGACGTTGCCGGAAGATGTGAGGAGGAACATTCTGGTGAACAATGGAGGATGGCGTTCAGCTAGTTACCACAACAACAACAACAACGTGGTTAAGGGGTTGTTTTGGAATGACAACGAAGGTAGCAGCAGAGGGAAGAGGAACAATGGTGAGGGTAGGGTGGAGAGGTGGGTGCTGTGCACGCCGCCATTTGTTGCGCGCCGTGGTTGAGGAATTTCGTCGAACACCTGTTCTGCATTCTGCATTGTCTCTTGTCCCAGAATCATTGTCAAGAGTAAAGGTTTCTCAAAGTGAAGATTGATGATCTTTGGGTTGCTTCAATTAGTGGGTCGAAGGTAATTTTTGCAGAAATTATGAGATTTTGGTGTGAGGAAGATGAAGCAGCTGATTGAGATTGAAGAAGAGTAAAGTCCTCCATTATTGAGTCAATTCGTTTTTCTTTTTCTTTTATTTCTTAATTTTTCTTTTCCTTGCAGTTACGATTTGAGATGAGTGTGTGAGGACTGAGGACTGAGGCGTAGTTCAGTTGCATGTTTAGTAATTTTTATTTTATTTTATTCATTTGTATAATTGTATAACCTATTTTTCATTATCGGAATTATTTTATTAAATATTTAAATTGAGGGGCTTTTACCCTTTTTGGTCCTCAGAAAATTTCACGAGGCCCATTTTAGTCCCTAGCAAATAAAAAGGTCCATTGTGGTCCCTAAATAATTTAAATTAGACCCATTTTAGTCCTTTTGAGGACTAATATGGCTCTTTTTTAATTTGTGAGGGACCACGATTTCAACTAAATGAGTCCTTTTGAATTTTTGAGGAACCACGATGGGCCTTTTTATTTGCTAGGGACTAAAACGGACCTCATGAAATTTTCTGAGGACAAAAAAGGTATTTACTCTTAATTTTATAAATTGTTGAATCCGATCTTTATTGTATTTTATACATTTTATATTTCTAGTAATTGCTTTCTGTCGTTTCTTACCCCTAGGTTTTTTTAACTTCTTTCATTAAAAAAATAAAAATAAAATTGAAACATGAAATAAAAAATTCAAATAAAAATTTTAAAGTGTTAAAAAAAACATACTAAGAAGAGAAAAAGACATAACTAATGCAACTAGTGGAGCTCACTATTTTGTTTTAAATAAAAAATACACATATTTCCAAGGGTCTCCTGAAATAAAAACTTTTTTCCTTGTTATATAACACTTGATTTCCCCTTTTTTAGTTAATATAATTTTGAAATTATTTTTTGAAATAATATAATTATTGTATAATATTGATTGATGAATGATTTGAATTTCAAATATGAATTTTGTAACCGTTTTTTTTTTGGAAATACAATGAAAACTAAAGCAACATAAAAAAAGCCCTATACTGGGCACAATCTTGGGAGACTAACTTCCCTTAAGTCATTACGAAGCAATTCCAAACAAGCCGTTGGAGGGACATCCAGCACAATCAGCTGTCCATCCTGATGAGGTGCATGAGTAGCAAGCCAATCAGCAACAAAATTGCCTTCTCTATAAGTATGACTAAGCTGAATAATCCAGTTTCTTTGAAGCATGCTACGAGCTCGGATGATTAAAGCAGAAAGAGGATGACTTACGTCACACCCTTTTCTTATAAATTTCAAAGCCACATTGGAGTCACCCTCCACAAAGACTCTCATAAATCCCTTATGCCAAGCCAGATCCATACCTGTCAAGAACCCCCAAATTTCCGCTGAAGTAGAAGTACCACTCCCAAGGAATTTTGTAAAACCAGTTAACCAGTTCCCAGCAGCATCCCTTATGACTCCACCACATGCAGTCATTTGCCCACTGTCTATGCTGGAACCATCCACATTAAGTTTAACATAACCCTCAGAGGGAAAATTCCAGTGAATAAGACGTTCCTCTCTTCTAAGCTTCTGATGACCAATCTTAATAAGGGTTTCATTAGCCAATTGAATATTACCACAAGTATAGGTAATGCGCCTAATGAGACCATACTTCGAGTTGCTAGTTTGATCAAAGATCGCCTTATTTCTTTCCCCCCACAAACACCAAGCTATCACCCCAAAATACAAAGGCCAAGTTCGATCAGTTTGAAACAGACCTTTTAATCCTAGATTTGTCTGAATCCATAGGTGAAGATCCATGGAGAAAAAGTCACTACGGTTATCAGAAGGAACCCAATGCTCCCATAATTCCCTGGCACCAGGACAATCTCTAATGGCATGTAAACTATCCTCAAGATTATAATGACATCTCAGACACCCTGCATCTGTAGCCATGTGACGATGCACTCTACGAACATTAGTTAAAAGAGAACCTCTGTAGAGAAGCCATAAGAATTGTCTAATACGTTCAGGACCAGGCCAAGCCCAAATTACCTTCCAAATCCTATCCTGATGATAATGCGAGGTATCCATGAGATAGTTATAAGCTGATTTCACTGAAAAAACCCCATCTTGGCTACCTGCCCAAATAACACGGTCCGGAGAAGGATCCACTGTAGGAGGGAGCACACTACGAATCTTGTCTAATACTGAAGTAGGAAGAAGGTGCTGAAATAAAGGCCAGTCTCAATTACCATAACAAGTTACAAATTGAGACGTAGACCAATGAGTCATAATAGGAGGAATAGGTTGAACGACCAGAGAAACAAGTTGAGGACATCCTGGCACCCACGAATCCATCCAAAAAGACGTATGAACCCCATCCCCTAAAATGATACGAGAATTCTCTAGAGTTTGAGGCCAATACTTAACAATAGCCTTCCATAAACCAGAATCATTTGCGGAAGCCGAGATACTTGGAATGAGCCTTTCCTCCACCTTATACTTGCTACGAAGGACCCGAACTCATAACGAATTACGATCAGTCATGATTCGGTGACCTAGCTTCATGATAAAAGCCATATTATTCTCTTTAATTTTACGAAAACCAAGCCCCCCTACATTCTTCGGCAAACAGATCGTCTCCCAAGAAACCAGGTGAGCTTTCCTTCGTTCAGAAGTTGATCCCCAAATGAAATTCCTTTGTAACCGTTAACGTTAATAATATAATTATTCCCATAGTAATTGTGTTTATCTTTCTCTTGTCAGATAAAATTATCGTCTCCAAACTCAAGTGTGGTGGCTCAGTTGGTAGCATGACGACTGAGTGGTGGAAGAGGATCTCGGTTCGAATCCCACCAACACCATCTAGGGAGGGGCATAAGTACCGTAATCCTTGGATTCGCATCCGAATTCTGAATTAGTTCCTTGGTTCTGATTCGCCTCAAAGAGGTAATTAGGATTAGTTACAAAAAAAAAAATTATCGCCTCTAATCCAAATGAAGGATATTTTAGTAATTTTATTTTATTATTATATGAATTTTATCAAACACTCTTCCTTAATTTTCTTAACTCTCAAAACAACGTAATTTTTAAATTACATGAGATAATTGAAAATTATTTGATATAATATTAATTGAATTCCACCCTACTTTCTTTTCTCTTCCTTTCTTTCACTTTGTCATGTAATAGGATTTTCCCACATTTCACAATTCATCTTATTGTACCATGTAACAGTTGTGAATTCCATGCGCAACTGATTACATTAATCAGGGAAATAGTTTTAAATATGTATTAATTGAGTAATTCGTTTTTAAATTTTTATTAATTAATTTTTTTTTCAAAAAAAAAGTGATTATTTAAATAAGTTATGAGATAAATATTTAAACGAATCAATAATATTTCAAGTCATTCCAAACAGGTAAAGGTCCAATAGAAAATTAATAGTGCCTTTCATTATCAAAGATAAAAAGCTAATTCAATTATGAATATTTAAAGAATGCTTGTGAGCGGCACGCTAGTTTGGAATATGATTGCTTTGATTTTCTCAATAATATCATAGTGACATAATGAAATTCAAGAAGATAAATTGCATAACTAAAAAAGTTTAAAACAATAAATTACATTATCCTAAAAAATGAAAATAACAGAGAGTGGTTTTTTTAATAGTAGGAAATTTCCCAAAGCTAACCTCCCGAGTCTATCTTAGAAAATTGTATCCACTATTTTTTATAAATTGTATACGTTATGTTAAATATTAGAAAATAAGTAATAAAATAATATATTTATAAAAATTATATACCCTACCCATATTAAATAGGTCGGATAAGTGCTTGAATCGAATGTAATCTGAAAGATGAACCGAATGTAATCTGAAAGATGAATCAGTTGAGAGGGAAAAAAGAAAAAGACACTCCAGTTTACCCAACAAAAGAGACAGACACTTCTAGCAAATCATTAAAGATAAAATACACCACAGTACCACACCCAAGAAGGAGAAAATAAGCACAAGAAGACGAAAGAGAAAGAGATTCGGTATGGTAGAAAGTAGGTCCATTTCATTGAGTGTTTTTTTTTTTAATTATTTTATAGAATAGTTAAAGAAATATGTATTTTTTTTATTTTGAAAGTTAAAAATCAAAACATAAAATAAAAATAATTCAGATATGTTGTATAAATTCAATTTTAAAACAAAAACAATTATAAATTTTAGAATTATCTTTACAAAACACACATTATCAAATAGGTATTTTTTTTCTGAAAATAAAAAAACCGTTTAGAAGAACAAAATTGAAACACGCCCTAATATGCCGGTCTACTGCTGAATTTCCTTCTTTCTGATAATCTTTAGTTGTTGATGTAACATGTTGCTGAGAAGGGAAGCTATAATTTAAGATATTTGCATTTGTTATTTAACATGACATAATAAATTTTCTTACACACAATATTTGTGGGGTCCACATTTTTTAATGAAAAAAGAAAAAAAAGAAATTACGACGCGTAAAACGAATTTCTATAACATTATACAATTACTTTTTCTACAATATAACTCTTATAAAACCCATAATTTAATAGCGTATACATGAAGGGTTTGTTTTTTCTGCAGTTACTGCAGATAAGTTATTTGCTGTAAGTCTAATACGACATCGTTTTAGAGCGAAAATCATGATATTTTTGTAATTTTAATTTATTTCAGGGTTATTATAGTCTTTATAATTATAATTATTTAAATTTTCAATCTCAAAATGACATTATTTTAGGAGTAAATACAGATAACTTATTTGCAGTAACTGCAAAAATATTATTCTCATATATAAAAGAGGGGCTTAGCCCCTCTTTATTTACAAAAAAAAAAAAAATTCAAAATGTTATATCTATAGCAGCAGCAGTCACGTGAATTAATTGATATAAGGTTCTTTCAACTTAATTAATAATTTTAAGTACGAGTCCTGATTATGCAATAATTTTTACCACCCTTATAATTATACCTGGTTCAACCAAAATAAATGAACCGGTCAAGAAATCTAAAATAAAAAATATTATATGTTAAAAAAAAGTGTTTGTTATTTTAAATGACATAAAGTTAAGAGAAAGATAGACACAAAATAAATTTTTTTAAAAATTTAAATTTTAAAAAAAATCATCACTTTTTCTTCTATGATTTTCATTTCTTGTGTCTATCTCTCTCCTAAAATGACATAACTTATGTCATTTAAAATAACAAATATCAAACCCAAAAAAGAATTCAAAATATATATATATATATATATATATATATATATATATATATATATATATATATATAAAGAAAGCAGATTGTAAGATAATGACGCATCAATAACCTCTCACAATCACTTTTGCCATTATTAGTGCTTCACCAATCCTGTGGTTTCTAGGATCACAAATGTGGATCAATGACAAGGGCTTTTGGCTGATTTTTGTTTGCAAGTTAAAAAAAGGGTTGATAAGTGTGCATCCTTCATCTTCTCGAGCATTCTGGTCCAACATGATTTCGTTGAATGAAAATGACAATGAATGTCATGCATTTTAATTTGAAGGTACAGAGCCTAACTTGATAGGCTTTTGTCTTTCCTTGAATGTTATCTGTGGCTCTTGAAAAAGCAATGAAAGAATTGGCCTCAGATTTCATTAAAATATAAGGTATAGCAAATGGGGACAAAAGAATATAACATAGTTCGAGCTGCTATTGTTTGTAAGCAATCAATGCATCTATGTTAACTATTCGCTAATATCCTATAATCGAATAAAACTTTGGTATTACGTCCTTTTTTTAACATTTGAAACTTTTTTCAATGATTTTTTTTACTAAAAGTGGTAAGAAAAATAAATTCAAATATGAAAAAAATGAAGTATCCATTTAAATACTCGAATAGTACCAAAGTTTTGTTCCCTGTAATCACCGTTACAGTTAGGCAACAAACACACTTTATTAAACAGAGCCAAGATTATACCGTGAGTTTGCTAACGCAATAAGAATAATTCACTTATTTACGAATCACTTATGCCAATTCAATTCATTAATTGAATAAATTGTTCTAAACTTAACCAAATAATGGTAGCATAATTGGTGCATAAGAATTAAACAAATAAAGGAGAGAGTATGTATTCGATCTTCACCAATATCATTTTTAGAAGGAATTTAAAATCTTAATCTTGATTTCACCTCGAATAAAATTGCATCCCATAAAAAATACCTATGGTTTATCCAGTTTTTCTAAAAAAGCTTAGCATAATTTAAATAACTTTGGTTGGTTGTTTCCCTATCAACTATTCACGATAAGCATAGCACTAAATAGGTAGTAACTTAACTGTAGCAGGTAGCCTTGTAAATTAATATAAAATATTTATTGTAACATATGAAACATAAACTGAAGGGCTTTTTTACCTTCAGATACAAAATTCAAGACATATTATTGTTTAATTTTTTTTGAGAAATTATTTATCAATCTAATATAAATGAAATATGTATGAAAAATATGCGCATTTAAGTTGCATATCACGCATGCATAACTTGTGTAAAAATCAAAGGAAAAAACTACTCTTATGTTACATGTGGTAAATTTCTCTCCTACACAGCCTTCGATAACTGTGCCACCTTTTTCTTTTCTTTTCTTTTCTTTTCTTTTTATTTTTCAGGTGGTGGAGCCCACAAGTTTATCTCTATGACATGAGATAACTTATCTCCTTTAACATGAGATTAATAAAACCCAAAATCAAAATACGTCTGTTACGCGTTGTGCTCTACAAAATATACATGTATGATTACAATGCGTGGTAATAGAATGCACACTTTGCATTGCGCTGATTTTAGCACAGTCAGGCATGGAGGTAATATGTGATTTAAATGCACATATTCTTCGTATGCATTTTATTTGTATTAGATTAATAAATAATTTGTAAAAAATATTAAACAAATGATATGTTTATGTTATTTCATAGAAGGATAAAAAAAAGCCTAAAGTGATGCATTTTGTGAGTTTGGAAAAAAAAAATGCCCTGAAGTGTATATAAGAGAGAGATTGAATGGATGCGTAACTAATGGAGCTTGAAAGAAATATAAAAAGCACCTATCACTTTAATCCAAGAATCTGTTAATTTCTTCTTTCTCCACATTGGTGTGTGAGGTGTAAGCAATGGCGTATGGGATAACCTTTTAAACCGTAGAATCTTTTTCTTCTAATAAAAAAGAGAGTGTAGAATCTTTTATTCAAGTGCAGTTAAAGTTCTGGATTTGGATAAACAATTTATGACCGTACGCTACAAAAATTGAACATAAGATATTAGAAGTGCGCATCATGTTACAAGTTAGATAAAATAAAATATGACTAGGATTGTTGCTTTTTATAGTTAATTTAAAATAATTGATCTTTTGTTTTGAACTTGATTTGTATGCTCCACGCGTCCTCCTACTATGCGTTACATTGAATATTGGGTTACTTAAAGACAAGACTAGGATAAGCATCTAATTTGAAAATGAGGACATGTACTAGTGAACAAGCATGTAAAGAGACTTGGGATTGCTTCATTTAAGTAGAGATAAAATCCACTATGTATGCAAAGATTAGCAAGCACTTTTTTATGGGTAGGAGTGATCATCTTGATTCAGAGAATTGAAGAGGATAAGAAGGAGAAAAGGTGACGTGACTATATAGATAGAGTAGGAATGATTAAAGGTTTTTTCTTGCAATGCCAATGATAGGAAGTGCCCTTGTGGTTGCAATATAAGCTGGATAGCAGAAAGAAACCATGTGAGACCCACCATAAGATAGGCACATATTGCAATAGCAAAATCTTTTTCATAGACATAAGTACAATGGAAAAGAGAGCCTAAGTGAAGGCTTCCAATTATTGGTCAATTAAATTGAAACTTCCATGTCTTGATGTTGAGCAAGAAATATAAAACTAGTCTATTATGGCTTCAATTTTGATCCATTACACTACCCATATAACCATTTGTTGATACATTACCAAGAAAGTTACTTTTTAAATAGTTATAGTCATATAATCTTTTAACGATGGGACAATGAAGTATTAGAGGATAATATTTCACATTAACAATGAAGTAAAATTAGACCCGAATATCAGTGAGGTGTTTTTCTTGGTTGGGTTCATATGTTGCTTCGAATCTCGGACCACATAGAAGTGAGTGACAACTAATCCAAAGCATAACGGGTTGCTTCCTAAATTTTCAACTTTGTCATTCATACATTTAAATCCGTACACTTGTCCCGTACACCTATCCGATACAGTCTTATTTCTTCCTCCCCTCTCGAAAAAATCTAAAGTGAAGATCACTTTATATTTTTGGTGGTCCTTCTCATTAGGAGAAATATTTTTTTTTTATCTATATATATATATATATATATTTTTTTTTTTTTCTTACCCTTCCCATTTGTGAGAAGGGAAGACTGAGTAAGTGATGTTTTCGAAGCACCCAAATTCCTCTCATTCCTCTCTCTTTTCAAAAGTTGTAACAACAATAAGAAGTCTAATAAGGATTTTTATGTAGAATAAAATTTCTCCTAAACCCTAAACCAATGAAAAAAAATCTTAGTTATACCACTTTTATGAACACTTAAGGTTCTACATCGCGCTAATTTAAATGGTTACCCGTCAAGATCACAAACACTTGACATGGGGTGAATATGACTACTTTATACACATGTTTTCTCATATCTCTCATGCACGCATGACACTTACACGTCAGATATCACTTAGCCTCACACTACAGTGGGATTCACATTATAAAATTGTTATGACATCATATTTTTCATGCCGAAAGAAAATTTCTCTCATCCAATAAATAAAGGTCTTAATTTCACAAAATGGATTATTTTCTCTCAAATTCACTCCTCAGCCATAACAAAGCCCAATATACTTCACTTGTATGGACAACAGACATCCATTCTCATTTTTTGACTAGTTCAGTATCATTGGAGTTGTGTGAGGGTAATCTATTCTATTGTTAAGTGTTCAGGGGAAATTAAAACATTGCAAGGGATTCTTCCAACCAATAGGCAAAAAATCATTTTAAGTACACTTACCATTATATATATCTCAACCCTAAATTTCAAAGACATTAAATTTATGTTTATTTCCACTTTTATCCATTTCTAACCAATATACAACTTAACAATTCATACTTAAATTTTTAACAATTATTGTTATTGAATAACATGAAAAAAATACACGGTTTAAATCCATGTGTTACAATACTATAGTAATATAACTATTTGAGACTTCTTAGCAGCCTATTTTCAACACTTCTAACACTTCCCCTTAAACTTAAACTTACTAATCCTTAAATTTGATACAAATGAATTCTTGTTAGAATTTTAAGTATAAAACTCTTCATGGGTTATGGATAAGAAGGGGTTTGGAAAGAAAAAGAAAAGAGAAAAGATGAAAGGGTGTGTGGGTTTTAAGGAGTCTCACTTTGGACAAGTAATAAGAGGTAAGAGAGTATATAAGCTCCCACCTCACACTTCTAAATTGCCCCTTGGGGCACTACTAATCATGTTCATATCCGTTGCTTCCCTCTGGAATATTAAAACCGAAACGTTGCTACCCGCCATTTTTTGAACCGAACCGGTGCATTCAGTTAAATTTGAACCGAACCGGTCACCGGTCGCACTGTTTGGACGCCGTCCAACGTGGCGGTTCGCCGGCGATGTTCATCGTGACTTTCTGGTGTCTATATATAGACGCTCCTCCCTTCAGAAAATTCATTCAATTTTTCTGCATTATTACTGTGCCGATTTTTTCCTTCACCTGTGTAGACATCCATCCCTGTAATTCCTCATACAGCTCTTGGTTGATAGTTGCCATATCCTTTAGACGCAATTTGTTTTATCCTAGGAGACACTTGTTCATCTACCTTCGGCAATAGTAAAGGAACAAATTGCTTTAAGGAGACAACTGTGTTGGACTCGGATTTCTTCCACTATTTTGCATACTGTGTTCACTCTAAACCTGTATTGTGAGTCTGTTCTATTTTCTTTATTGCACTGTATTTGATAATTCTGTTTTAATTTCTATTAGATTCGGATTCAAGTCTTTTGGTGATCATTCACCCTCTCTCTTCGACAACAATTCTTACAAATGAAAAATAAATAAAATAATATATTTGGTTTCTACAAAAATGGTTGCAAAGTAACCTCAGAAATACTGGAGATATCAGAGAAATAAAAAATACTGGAAAGGCAATTTAATACGGTGGCTGAAATGTCTATCAGCTTGGAAAGCAGGTTGAAAAATATTGTATAACCAACAAACAAGAGACTGAGCTGGAAATGCAAGCATTCACAACAAAAACTAAATTGGAAGCTTCGACAATACTAAAGCTTAAAAAATCCAACTAAAGCATATCTAAGACAAAGTCAGGGTCACGCAACATCTAAGACAATCCGACACTAGAGATTGCAATTTATAAATTTCTCCCCCTCGATATTATATTTGCATATAAAAGAGATAAAATCAAAACACAAAGAGTACCAAATCTCACAATTGTCTTTTTAAAACCCCTATTTTCAATAGTTCTTCTAACAATTATCTTCCAGTATGGATAATAATAACTATAGGAACTAACAGGGACAAAATTCAATGATATTGTATTACACATTAATGTACCTAAGAATCTCTCAAAAAAGGACACACAAAAAAACTTAGAAATGTTGACAAACTTTTTGAAGAGTCAAGTTGCTTCACAACTGTCCTCTATAAAACGAAAAACATATTCCAAAAGGGGGCTAATGAAATGAGTGGACAGATGTCTTAACTAGAAATGATGGCTTTTGGTATGTTCTTGAACAGAATCCGATGTCGACCTCTCCATGCGGTTGCTTTACTTTCTTAAGGGAACCTTGGATCCAGTCAATTCATGGTACCCAACAGTGAAAGTGTACACTTCCTGAACAACAAAAACATGAATTCAAAAGATCAATTTACCAAAATAACTGGGTTAAAAAAAATTAAATTTCTTGCAGCAGGTACTGTACAAAATCATTGTTTTAAAAACTGACTTGATTCAATAGGGTAAATTGACGGATTAATTTCATTTGGTTTCAAAATAATTATACAATTATTAAAAGAATATAACTATTATCTAACTAAATAACTTTCATTCTATTAATAATTGTGCTATTTTTTTTTTATACACAATATTTGTTCTATTTCAATTAAATAAAATATTAAAAATAAAATTAAATCAAGAAATAATTAATACCTGAGAAGAAGGACGGCAGAGAGTGCCAATTTTAAGGTTGGGGAGGGAAACCTCAAAACCAGGCTGTGGTTCCACCTCGCCTTGCAGTTCAACAATGCTCCATTCTTTGCACATTCCTTACTCACATTAATCATTGAGCTAGTCAACTGAAAACAATTGATGAAAACTAAGCAACTTGGTAACAAATTCATTCATTTCGGTCAGGGATGTGAATCGAATCGAACCAAATTTTTTTGAAAAATCAAACCGAATTGGTTTAAATGGTTCGGCTCGAAAGTGATTTGGTTCGGTTCAAAACTGGTTCAGTTCGGAACCGGTCCGGGTCGACCATATTTTAAAAATAAAATTATAAAAATCAATTTGATTCGATTTGAAAACGATTCGGTTCGGTTCGAAAACGGTTCGGTTCAAAGTGGTTCGGTTCTTAAACTGGTTTTAAAAACCGGTTCGGTTCATGAACTGGTTCTTTAAAAACCGATTCGGTTCATGAATTGATTTTTAAAAACCGATAATTTTAAGAACGGTTCGGTTTAATTTTTTGATTATTTTGCACACCCCTAATTTAGGTACTTTGGGGAGGAGAAATCGAAGATTCAACCCATTTTTAAAATATTTTGAACAACACATTTTTTTTACTTCTTTGTTCTAAAGCATTGTTACTCATCCATTAAGTTTTCTTTACACAAAAATTCTTGCATCAGAAAAGATAAAAAAAAAATTTACATTTCTTGTTAATTACTCATTTTATCTATCAATTGATTTTTTTGACTCACAAATTTTTTTTTACTCAATCACAAAAACTTTTCAAAAACAATAACATTTTCAGTTAGTTTAGTTTAGCATTTCATTGTTTAGAATTTATTTTTATTTTTATTCTTTTTAGTCCAAATTCCGTCAAAGCAATTACTAGTTTAATTTGAATCTAAACACCAAGATCCTTGTGAAAATGATATTAGGGTCTAAAATACCCCATTACTACTTGTTATCATGTATATTTGCACGTCAAATTTACATAACTGTTAGCAAGGCAACAATTATGATAATCTTTACTTCAATTGTTGATGTAACATATTGTTAAGAAGGGAAGCTATAATTTTTTTTTTTTTTTTTTTAAATAAGCTATAATTTTTTATTGTAGATAAAATGTTATATATACATTACCGTATGAGATTCTTCTAACTTAACCAATAATCAATCACAAGTGGCTGATTTTTTATTGCAAGTTATAGAAAGGGAATGACTTCGTTGAAGGACGATGAATGTCATGCATTTTGATTTGAAGGAACAGAGCCTAACATGATAGGCTTTTGTCTTTCCGTGAATGTTATATGTGGCTCTTGAAAAGCAATGGAAAGAATTGGCCTCCAATTTCATAGAAATATAAGGTATGGCAAATGGGGACCAGAGAATAAACATAATGCAAAAATATATGGTTAGAATTGCCATTGTTTGTAAGCAATCAATGTATCAAGTACCTCTATGTTAACTATTCTCTAATACCCTATAATTCCCATTATAAGTAGACAACAAACACACTTGTATGTTAAACAGAGCCAGGCATTTTATACAGTGAGTTTGCTAACTACAGCTCTTAATTCTGGTCTAGAGTTTTAAAATTAAAAATTTAGAATATTTTAAATAACTTGATTGCTAGTTTCCCTTTCAATTATGCGTGATAAGCACAACACTAAATTGTAGCTCCTAGCCTTGTAAATTAAGTATAAAATGTTTTTAATAACATATGAAACATAAATTGATACATCTTATGAGTTCGGAAAAGAATAAAATTTCCCTAGAATATTATATATAAGAGAGAGAATGAAAGTATGCATAACTAATGGGGCTTGAAAGAAATATCAAAAGCACCGATCACTTCACACCAAGAATCTGTTAATTTCTTCTTTCTCGACCTTGGTGTGTGAAGGTGTAAACAATCGCTTATGGGACAACCTTTCAAAGTGTAGAAGTAGAATCTTTCTTCCAATAAAAAAGTGTACAACCTTTTCTATAAGTACAGTTAAAGTTCTAGATTTGGAGAAACAATTTATCAATGCCACAAAAATTGGACATTAGATATTTGAAGTGTGCATCATGTTAGAAGTTAGATAAAATAAAATATGGACTAGGATTATTGCTTTTTATAGTTAATTTGTTATGAACTTAAAAGGATTTGTATGATCCACGTGTCCACCTACTATAAGTTATATTGAATATTGGGTTACTTAAAGACAAGGCTCGAAAAAGCATCTAATTTGAAAATGAGGACATGCACTAGTGAACAAGCATGTAAAGATAATTGGGATTGCTTCATTGAAGCAGAGAAAATCCACTATATATGCAAAGATTAGCAAGCACTTTTTTACGGGTAGGAGTGATCATCTTGATTCAGAAAATTGAAGAGGATAAGGAGAAAAGGTGGCGTGACTAAATAGATGGAGTAGGAATGATTAAAGGATTTTTCTTGCAATGCCAAGATAGGAAGTGCCCTTGTGGTTGCAATATAAGCTATAAAACAGAAAGAAACTATGTGAGGCCCACTCTAAGATAGGCACATATTGCAATAGCAAAATCTTTTTCAGACATAAGTACAAAGGAAAAGAGAGCCTAAGTGAAGGCATCCAATTATATTGAGTCTAGTCCATGCCTTGATGTTGGGCAAGATCGACTGAAATATAAAACTAGTCCATCATGGGATCAATTTTGATCCATTACACTAACCCATATAATCATTTGTTGATACATTACCAAGAAAGTTACCCTTTTAAATAGTTATAGTCATAATCTTCTAACGATGGGACAATATATTATTAGAGGATAATATTTCACAATAACAATGAAGAATAATTAAATCCTAATATCAGTGAGGTGTTCTTCTTGGTTGGGTACATATGTTGGTGCAAATCTCGGACCACATACTAGTGAGTGACAACTACTCCAAAGCATAATGGGTTGTTTGCAAAATCTACAACTTCGTCATTCATATATTTAAAGAGGATATAGTTTCTCATGTTAGAATGAGATAAGATTGACTCGCATACATAAAAAATTTGATGGAATTCACTTGTTATTTTTTTCTCTATTCTCCTCAAAGGTTCCATCCACTTTTATGAGAAATTATATTTTTATATTTAAATCAGGGGTTTAATATCTTTCATGTTGTAGGAAATAATTTTATTTCTTATATATACATAAAAATGTATAGGACTCATGTGAGGCTATATGAGAAGAAGAAAGAGAAAAAAAAATATAAACCCTACATACTTTTATGTATATATAGGGAATAAAATTATCTCTTACGATATGAGAAACATTAATCTCATAAATCAATATACTTCTCCCGTACGCCTATTCCAAAAATCTTATTTCCCCGTCCCCTCTCCCTCTATTCTCAAAAGTTGTATAAATAGCAAGAGGTCTAAGGATATAGAGGAATAACATTTCTCCTAAACCAGAAACCAATGGAAGAAATTCTTAGCTATACCAGCTTTAAGATAATACTGTTAGATTATAGTATCATTGAAGTTGTCTCAGGGTAATCTATTGTTAAGTGATTGGGGGAGATTAAAGCCCTTGCAAGGAATCAAAGGGTAAGGCAAAATCCCACTTCAAATGGATTTAACATTTCATTTCAATACTGTACCTTAAAAAGACATTAAATTTATGAACTTTTCCAGTGATAAGATTTTCATCTTGATCCATTTTTAACTAATATAAAACTACGCAACTCATGTTTGAATTTTCAGCAAGTATTGTTGTTGAATAAAGTGAAATAGATTCATAATGTTTAAATCTGTGTAACAATTGCATAGTGGAGGTTTTATTATATAGAGATTATAACAAGTACATAACACTAATATATAACTATGTGAAACTTATTAACACCCTATTTACAATACTTCTAACACTCCCCTTTAAATTACAGCTCACTAAATTTTAAACTTATTATAAATTAACTCTTATGAATGAAAAATTAACCAAATAATATATTTAGGCCCTGCAAAACATGGTTGCAAAGTCAACTCATGAATGTTGGAGGGAGAAGTAAAAAATGCTAGAAAGGCAACTCAGCAAAGTGTTTGGGATTATCAGCAGCCTGCCTCAAGAACCGGTAGAAAAATATAACATTGAAAATGCAAGTATTCAGAGCAAAATCTATAACATCTCTGAATTTATCATGAATAATATTTGAAAGTTTCATCCACATAAAAATTTAGGAGACTCGACCAAAGCAAATCTAGGATAACGTAGTCAGGACCAGTATGTAACTAGGACAAACTTGGATGATATTGTATTACACCTAAATGTACCTAAGGATCTCTCTTACAATGGACACACCAAAAAGCTTGGAAATATTGACAAACTTTTTGAAGTGTCAAATGTTGCTTCACAACTGTCCTCTGGAAAAAGAAAAACATATTCGGAGAAGGGCTAATAAAATGAGAGGAAAAATGTCTTAACTCGAAATGATGGCTTTTGGTCTGTTCTTGAACAGAATCCGATGTCGAATGATTCCAACAACTTGCAGTTCCACCTCTCCATCCGGTTGCTTTATTTTCTTGAGCACCACCATTGGCTTCTTTAAGGGAACCTTTGACCCTGTTAGTTCATGGTACCCAACAGTGAAAGTGTACACTTCCTGAACAACAAAGACATCAATTTACCAAAATCACAGGGTTAAAAAAAATAAAAAAATCTTGCAGCAGGTATTGTACAGATTCAGTTTAAAAAATTTGACTTGATTCAATAGGGTAAATTGATGGTTTAATTTGGTTTGGTGTCAAAATAATTATACAAATATTAAAAGAATATAACTATATTTTTTTGGATACAAAAATGGCATTAAGATTTAAAACTATGAGCTCACACAGACTAGCCAAATTCTTGACCAATACTAGTGGCTAGAATATAACTATATTTAACTAAATAACTTTCATTCTATTAATATTTGTTCTATTTCAATTAAATAAAATATTAAAAAAATTAAATTAAATTAAGAAATAATTAATACCTGAGAAGAAGGACGACAGAGAGTGCCAATTTGAATGTTGGAAAGGGAAACCTCAAAACCAGGTTGTGGTTCCACCACGCCTTGCAGTTCAACAATGCCCCATTCTTTGCACGTTCCTTCCTCACAGTTACACCTCAGACGAATCTGCATCTCTCTCTTGCTCTCTCTCAACAGGGTTAACAGATAGAGAGTTTTATTGGCGGCAAAGTGGCTTCCTTTTCCCGCCAATTCGGTAGATTCATTCTAATTTCTAATCATTGTTGTTTTCTCACATCTTTGAAAAAAAAATGTTTGGTATATAATGTCACTGTCATAGAGTTTTTTTTTTTTCATAATAGTATGAAAATATGTGATTAATTAATAATATAAAAAAAATTATATTATTTTTGTTGATCTGTGCTTCAATTAAATTAGGACGAAATTCATAAAACTTAAGTAATATGAATTTAAGCTTAAAAGAAAATTAGGGTTTCTTTTTCTCCAAGTCCAAAGATAGCATAAAAGATTAGATCTACACATTCTTAACTAGAAAATCAGCACATTTTATATAAATCTTCTTTAAGATGTACATATCCTGGGGATATTTTATTCATGTTTTATATGAATAGAAATAATTTGGTAGCATAAATTAAGAGGAAAGTATTTCTCCGGTCATTGAAGATAAGTTATATCCAGTGACTCTTAAAACTACATCGTTTTGAATTAATGAAGAATATTTCTGTAATTTTAGAAGAATTAATGAAGAGTATTTCGATAAAATTCATATGATAAAAAAATAAATAAAATTATGAAAAACACCCTTTATTAATTTAAAATGACATAATTTTTGAAGTCACATCTCCAGATTAATTGAATAAATACTTTACCCATAAATTAATTAGCTATACGCTATTTTACAATTTTTGCCTTCCTTAACTTTAAGGAGAAAGCATTAACAATTTCACTTGTTTAAATAAATTCTTTGTATATTGCTGCATACAAAAAAAATCATCTAACCTATCTTCGTTAGTCGGGATTTAATATAAAATGATTTATCTATTTACTTTTATGTCTTGAGGAATGGAATTCTTAAGTTAAGTCCTATCATTATGTCACAAGTGGGAAGATTCTACAAAAGTCAACTTAGATTAGACCCCAGTTCTCCAGTCAAAGCTAACATGAAAGTTGAAAACTACCTGAGGGCTTGAGAACATATTCTACAATACATAGGACCATATTAAAGGATTACATACCAAAACACAACAAAAAGAACTAGGTTTCAAGGTTTCATGGGGTGGCCTTTTTACAAAGATTCCTAACTGCACAATCTTACGTTAGTTCAGAGCAAAAGCTGATTGCTGATCTCCTAGCAAACATTCCTTCTATCTTCACCACAATGTGGAAGTCTGGCTCCTGCAGAATTTCCCATGCCAACATTTCTGGTGTGTTGCATTGTTGGATCCACAAAAGACTTTCTAAACATTGGATTCTGTGTGCCAAAGTATTGGTTGCAATAGTGATCACTTGACAAGGCCATGTCACTATGTTGGGTGTTTGATGAGCTCAGTTGCTGTTGAAGGCAGTTCTTAGGATTTTGATCAGAATCTAATGGGACAGTTCCAGTGAGAGTTTTTATTGCAAATTCAATACATGGATCCATCCATGAAATACCAAGTGTCTTTTCAGAAGATGATCCTGCATTCTCATTGGCCTTATCATCATTTTTTGCAACACCAGCTTCTTGTTGTGGAATGGCATAGTTTTCTGGAGATGAAAACACATTGCATCTTTCCTTATCATCATTCAACCCATTGGTTTTCTTACCATTCCCTTCAGCAGCAGCCAAAGTTTCAGATGAAATTTGAGAGTTTTTGGAGGTTTCAAATGTTACTCCAGTGAGAGTTTGTATTGCAAATGCAATACATGGATCTGTTAGTATTTCTCTGAGGGGAATGTCAAGGTTGTAATCAAACATTGCATCAACCTTGTTTCCATTTCCTGACTCATCTCCAAGTACATTACACTGTTTTGCAAGATCATTAGGCAAGATGTTTGGGGATTTATCAGCATTTATGATGGTTTCTTCCTCACCTGATTGTTTAACTGCAGCTCGACGTGGTCGATTTCTTGTTTTAAGTTCTGGAACTGGATCAACCTTAATTCCAGCAAGACGCTTTGAAGCACGGCGAGGTAAATTTATCTCTTTCTTATATTTGCGCTGGCGATTTCGGGTTTGGGATTTTTCAGTTCCATGTTTTGTCTCTGCATTTTCTTGAACTGGGTTCTCTTGGGCATCTTCATCTGTGCAACCAGGAACTAAAGTGCTTCCAGTTAAACCATCCTTCCCTTCTTTCTGATCTGAACTTTCATCTCGTGATAGAACTGAACTGGTCAATTCTGTGCCCACTGCACCTAGATCATGTAATAAACATACATCATATGCAAGATCTTTATATATTAACATGGATAAAGAAAAAGCTATGACAAATGCAAAACCTATTTCACGTTACCTTAATTTAAAAAACAAGAGTTCAAATCTTTGTTGTTAAACCAGACTCAAATACAAAACTATAATGAGCAAAATTTTTGCAGGAGATAGCATAAACTAGCAGGAAAGAACTGTATACAATGTAAATTAGTTAATGTTACTCCCCAAACATAAGTTGAGAACAACACTGAACTGATGAAGGCCATTATAGTAGCATTTAGTTGTGCACCTAATTAGATGGAGTCAGTATTGTTAAATTCAAAAGAAAAAAGAGAAAAGTTGGGAACTTTACACTGACTGGAAATATGTTCAGAGATAGGCATTGGAGTATATTTCCCTACACTTGCAGGTCTTGGAACTTGTTGGTCATTGACTATCATGTCAAAATCTGAGCTGTGACTCATGCTAACTGATAATGTCGGTTTTGTGCTTACACCTGCTGACTGCGAACAAATCGTAGACAGGAAGATTGTAAAAGTAGAAGTCTTGGTGGAGAAATAATTTTAAGACAAAAGATTTTAACAATATCACTGGAAGCTGAAAATAATTTCAGCAAGAGAAGATGACGTATTAATAATTAAGACATCAATTTGCATCATATGAATAAGATGAGTGATTTTAGTCCTTTGTACTGGAATTTAGAGTCCCCCTACACAGCCCGGGCAAGTGGAAGGGAAAGTTTAGCATATGAGACTAAATAGACATATAAACTACAAGAAGCATAATTGTGGCCACCCTTACAGAGAATTTGTCAGCTTTTAACTCTATATCACTGTCATCTTGGTCTTTTGGCTTGAATGCGCTCCTCCTCCCAATCTCCCCAGATTTAAGATAGTGTTCAACACCTTTTATCGAGCGGAATGCATAGCCACTTACAGGATCAATGTAGTACTGCATAGAAAGCATATAATTTAGAAGAGCAAGTTATTCTTATAGTGGTTAGGCAGGTGATATATGTAAAAGCATAAACAATGATAATAAAGATCTGCATCCTCGTACTCTTAAGTGCTCAAAGGCAGGCATAAGATTGTGCAAATGCAGAGTCTACCAACTTGGAATATGGGAAAATATGAATTTAGTATAATCGGTCTATTATATAGACTAACTTAAATAATAGCATGACTGAACTAAAAGATGTGAAACTAATTACAACAACAACAACAAAAAACCACTCTCCGTTAAACTCGACTAGCGAGTGTGGGGTGGAGGCAATCCTTGTACGCAGCCTTACCCTTGCATAATTGCAAAGAGGTGTTTTCTGGAAACTAATTACAACACTATAAGAGAAATTGTGATGACCACTTGAAATAATTTTTTACTTCCTCTTTACTCCCCTCCACCCTTTAATGAATGTTTGAGTACAATATTCAGGAGAAAGTGGTGAGGTATTGTTTACCGGATCTCTTCTAATCGTGTCTCCTTTTGTTGTGATTCTGGTCTTTTTCATCCATCCCGGTGGTAACCCTTCTGCAATACCTTTCTCAACTACAACCTAGATTGCTTTGAATAACCAAAGTTTTCCCACATAAGTTAATACACCAGATGGATATTAAACATAAATAATGCCATCAAAAGAAGATTTTGTTGACAGACATTGTGCGAGATTCTCTGGATGCTGGCTTTGTTCTGAACATAGTCAAGATGACGAAATACCTCTACCTTCGAATTGAATTTTAGTCCACTTGAGGGGGAAATGTAATACTGCAATAAATATAACTTTAATAAGAATTGAGCTGAATCATCTTAGATAAAGAGTTTCTACGATTATGTCTTCTTGGCTCAATCAAACATAAAATTACTGCCAAGCAATGATTGAACTCCAAGAAAGATAAAAGGTTGAACACAATGGTTTTACCAAGAATCATTAGCAGGTAAAAGATGCTAAAGTGGAAAGATTTGCATTTCAAATCAAATAAAATACAAATAGAGACATTAAGAATCAACTAACAAAGTAGATAACTGAATTTAGAAACAACAATGCTTCCAGAATCTAGAACCAGATTGATCTTTGTTTCTGAAAAGTAACCATGTATTAGAATAAAATAAAAATGACCCCAAATATGACATGATCATTTTTTTAGATAGAATATTAGATTATATTGCTTGTCTATTCACTGCCTATTGGACATGAAATACCTGATCAGCCACTTTTCATGACCCTTTCAATCTCAGTAGAATTTACTAGACCCAACATTTGACGGCAATAAAGGGTATTATTATGCCATCACTGATGAAATCACACTGAATGACACTGATAACTCGATTTCTTTAACAGCTCATCTGGAGGGATTAAATGAAAAATAGTGTAACGAAAACATATAGATGGAAACACACAATACCTTGTTTAGACACATTACTATAATAGGAGGGAAAGCAGAATGATGACTTTCTCACTTGTCCATCTTTGGCCTCAAGAAAAGGGAAGAAAAAGATTTTTATTGAAAATTTAAGAGCTACCAAATGAACCAGCCAATAATAATAACTAACTTAAATCCATCTAGAATAGCAAAGTTGAGTTGAAACACCTTCCAATTCTTTCCTTTTTCTTCCATTGCGTCTAGCTTCATTATACTTTCAGCCAGTTTCACAGTCGTAAAGGCATTCAATATTCTCAACAAACATGCAAAACATTGTAATAGTTTACTAACCCCAACTAGCCAGGGGAAAATAAGACCTGAAAATCTCTTCTTACATTTAAGATTCTTTTCCTCTTGACCCACTAACAATAAAAAAAAACACATCCAAAGCCTATGACCATTTAAAAACTTCAATGAAGAACACGAATTTGCTGGAGACTTAGTCAAAACGGTCCATAAACAACATGCAAAGCATAGATTAAATCTTAAATGCCAAGCAAGTAACACACCTAAAAAAGACAAGTAATAAAACTTCCTTAATATCCATGCAGCTCTTAAATTTTGACCCTTTCTTGAAATTTTCTGAAAACTTAAGCAACATTAGAGGTTACAAAGCAACAACAATTATACCGACAACAAAAGACAAAACATACCACGACCATAATAAGATTGTCATGTGCAACAGAAACAAAGTTTCAAAATTTTCACTCCCAGCAGTAAAATAGAACTAACTAGGCTATCCAAGTCACAAGATCTTACATTTTGAAAACAACATCATAAGAAGAAAAGAAAGCAAAGGAGCAAGATCATTGGTGGGTCAAACCTCAATTACCTTGTCTCTCTTACCATTCTTTCTCACCCTCACTTCCACAGTCCAACCTGGTGGCAGCCAGTCATCGGAGTTTGGGTCCTCCATGCCTCCAGCGAGCCTCCGATGGCCGGAGAATCAAGAGTAAGTGCCTCTATGTGTCTGTGAACAGGTATGTGTGAGAGTATCTTTCTCTCGTGTTGTGTGTATAGTGTGTGCCACTAGCCTAGTACCTACCACCGAGTCAGAACCAAAATAGTGGAGCATTCGGACAAAACAAATAAAAAACTTGCATGATCACGTGATCAATGACACGTTTTAGAGGTATCAGAAAATTAGATGAGACAAATAATTTGGCTAAAAAATCTTAATATTTGCAATTAAAAACAATAAATTTTCGGATCAATGATATTTTTGAATATTTTATGCCACTTATGTAATCAACTGCGCAAGTATATGATGCACAATTAATTACATAGCAAGAAGGTGTCATGTGGCAAGTTTTCGCTAGTTGCTTACATATCTAGTGCATATCACGAGCATAATTCACGAAAGTTTACCGCATGACAATTGCACATGTTTTTTATGCGCCACTGACATGCACAATGGATTGCATTAATTACATAAGATATTTGAAAATGATATTGATCTCATAATTTAATTTTTAATAGCAATTATTAGGTTTTTATTTTCAAATAATTCCATATAAAATATAAGGATTAAGGCATGTATCTAATATATATATATATATATAAATATATATATAAATATATATATATATATATATATAATATAAGGATTAAGCGAATTGAATTGAAGTAATTATTTTTTACTCTACTTGATTAATAATAATGTAAATTGATATGTAACCTGTTGTATTTGCTTAATAATAATCAAATCTAAATATGTTCTTAATAATTATAAATCAAAAATATAATAATAATTTTTATGTTTTCTTTGTGTTCACGTGCTTGCATTGGCTGACTTTGAATTTGTTTATGTTTTTAAGGTATTGTATATTTTTATTTTTATTAAATATTAAAAGAATTATTGAAAAAATATAAGATTATTTAGTATTTCTATGTTTTCTTTTTTATATCTTCGGGTGCTTGCATTGGGTTGAATATTTACTTTATGAGAAAATATTTTCTGCACGAAAATTCAATTCTCATATTGTGATTCTTTGATTTGCGTACAAATTTTTTTTTTTTTTTTTTTAATAAATATAAAGCTCACCACAATATAAAAATTGAATTCTCGTCTTAATCGTATAATCTATCAATCGTGTGTTTCTTTGTCTGCTTTTCCCATACCCTCTTTTTTTTTCGGTAAAGGCTTTCCCCATACACTTTACATCTCTTATCACTGTTTTTTTTTTTGAGAAATTCCTTCTTCATTTTTCACTTGTACTTTGCGGAGCTAATTACCATCAAATTTAGTTTAAAATACCTATTTGTCCCACTGCTTTCAACCATGTTTGGCTTCATCCCAACTTCCAAAGTCACAATCACCCTTTGGTATGGTACTATTATTTTTGTGCTAATTATGCGATTTCAGTTTATTCGGTTGTATTTTTTAAACTAGGTAGATATAATGCAATTTTCACCTTTATGTTCAGCTTTTTTTTTTTGGATCAAATAAAAAGTTATTGTTTTGTATGGAGAATGTTTTAAAAATCTGAGCAAATCACCCAATTAAATTGGTTGAACCATAAATTGATTATATTTTTTATTTAAAGATTATTTAATTCAATTTAAGTTTAATTATTAATTTAATTTAGTTTAGTTTTTTGTTTTTGAAATTGCCCTTTTACTTGGTGTTATCTCACAAATGACTTCAGAGTCCAGACTACCTTCAAATTGGATCTGGGCCTGGCCTGAACCCGAATCCTTACCTCAAAATTGACAGATATATTCCTAGCAGTGTTGTATTGCTTGGTATTTGAACCTACCTGTAGTGTTATCGTCAATTTTTTTTGGTAACTTTGTGGCTCGTAAATAATGACAAAAAACACAAAAGAATGCTAAGAAGCTCAAACAAGAGGATTGACATATACACAAATAAATTAGGTTGCTGAGTGTTTTAAGACTTTAAAACACTAAAATTTGATGAGTATTCTAAAATAGTATTGATATAATTCTATATATATTAAAAAATAAAGAATAATATAAAAAGGTAAACAATGGAGTAGGTTGAATCACTCTTAAATTAAACAACTAAAAAACATTAACTTCAGATATATATATATATATATATATATATATATATATATATATATATATATATCTGGCATAAAGAAGAGGAATATATATATTCATATGCAATTTTGTGAATGCTAAATAATAATTAATTTTTAGGGAAAAGTTCAAATACTCCTTTATGGTTTGCTTTTGAATCACTTATCCTATATGTTTTTTGTTTCTTTTTTCTTTTTTTTATCATTTGCCCCTATATTTTTTTTCATTCAACTTTCTCTTTAATCTTGTTAAGAGTTTCTAATCAATATATATATTTTATCCTTCGTGCAAAAATACACTCCAACTACCTTGTGTCATCTTCTTTCCCAGACTTTACAAGGGTTTTATGGATGATTTATTATATTTTTTTATGAGCATCTAAAGCAATCTCATAAGTGGTAATTATTTTCATCATTTTTTTTTATTTTTAATTGTTTCAGCATTACTACATGTGCCTATATTGTTTTGCAATTTCTGAAGTTGTCATCTCAAGAATCTTCAAAGGATCCTATGTACTATGTTCTGTTGCGGCATCCAGACAAGTATGTCTACATAAGGACTACTATAGAGTTAAGTTTTCTCTACATTTGCCATTATTTTTTTAAATTTTATCAATTTTCTTGTTTAATGGTTAATGGTGTCACACTCGCGCGTTGCCATCTAGCTTATGCTTCAACATCTTCTCTTTCATTAGTTATTATGGAGAATTCGCTTGCCATTGATTCTGAATATATTGATTTTCTTCCATCTATTCAATAAGAGGATAATTAGATTTCTTAAGTTTGATTAACAGTTTGAGAAGTCTTCTTATCAAAGAAGGAAATAAATGATACAAGGAGGTCTTACAACCATGGGTGCACTATGATGTTTGAAGGATTTTTTGTAAGGCATACCTTGATGTTTTTCTTTTCTCCTTGTTGCTAAATTTTATGATATGTTTATCCATGTTGTGTAGGTTGTTCCTGTTATGTTGAATAGTCACACACATATATATATATATGAAGAACAGGTTGGACGATATTTCGAGAATCCAAGTTCATGGTCTAGTTTGCTGCATGATTTTATATGTAGTATGACTTTCATCATCAGTTCTGTTGACTTTAGAAGTCTTTTTACATAGGATAAGAGACACAAGTGTATTTTTGTGAGAAGGGTAAAATATATATTGATTAGAAACTCTAACATGATTAAAGAGATTCTTGGATAGAAAAAAGTATAGAGAATAAATGATTAAAAAAAAATAGGGGAATAAATGATTAAAAAAATACAAGGGGGTATTTAAATTTTTCCCTAATTTTTAAGCTAATTAATCTCTTACTTTCCTTAGCGGATGACCAAACGAGAGATTGTTAGTGCTTTCTATTTCATCTTATTAATTTGTTCCCTTTCAAATTAAATTAAAAAAACCTTTGAAATTTTTATGTGAAATTCATTGGTAAAAAAATATATATGAATTCATGGTGTAGAAAAGTACACGAGAACCATTCTCAGAGTAAAATATATAAAATTATTAATGTAATTTTTATTCAACAACTTAAATTTTTGGATTAAAATTATTTTTTACATAATATCAGATACCAAATGATCATAAGTTTGATTCTCACCGTCCCCTTTAAACCCAATTAACTCTTGTGAAAGATAGCTTTACAACCATTGTTAATCGGAACTTAAACTTGAATAAAGCATCTATCAGAGCACGTACAAGTACACAATTATTATTGATGGTGAAGATAAAAAAGAATTGCAAAATAGCGTATGATACATGAATGGACGAGTATACGAAGTCAAAATGAATAGCATAATCACGAGATAACTTCCACTCCTTAACATTAAATATTTCTTATAGACCAATATAAAGACTAGATTACTCACTCTAGAGGAAAGCGAGAGTTTGATCTTCCCTCATGTGATCAATTATGAAGAGGGTTTGGTCCAGAAGGAACAATCCGATGAGAAACTGCATGAATCTGCTTGAACTTAATCTTCCTGGAATTCAGAGTGGGGAGAATAGCTGAATAATTCTTCATAAACATGGAAGAAATATTGATTGATCTTCTTTCCAAGGCTACATGGCTAGCATGGTTGACTAAACGAGAGGTTGAACCTTGTGTTACCAACAACAGAATGATGATCAGTGGTAGAAAGAGGATTAAGGATTTTGGAGCCCTCATAATTGTGATGGAGGTAGCTAGGAATGAGTGATGAAGTATTTTGTCTAAGAATATGTAGGCAGTTTTTGAGTCTAAGACAGGTTGGTAAGTCTACTAAGTAAGAGACTAAACAGTCCACAACGAAGAGGATTGAGCAAATTTAACATTAAATTAACTTAATTTTAAATCATTGACACATGATTTGTCGTTTGTACATTCCTTGACCAATGTATATGCCAAATGTCAAAGATTGACTTTGTCGAAGGTGCCTTTCGTGACAGTTCAAGTGGATGTGTAGGGAGAATATTAAATCACCTTCAAATAGTTTAAATTAAATTTTTGAAATAGTTTATTTTTATGGAGAAGGTTATATTTATAACTTTTTATTTACAAACTACACAATGTCTGACTAGTAATACTCTACCGGTAATACACTCTTGAGTAGAGTATTACAGATCAAACATAATGTAATTTGTAAGTTTGTAAAAAAAAAGAATTGTAAACGGATCTTTCTCCTATTTTTATATAGTATATCAAAGTTCTTTTATCAAGTAGTTAAATATAACGAGTCTATCCGATAGCTTAATTTCGAGTGAGTTTGTCTATTGTTCGTGTTTTCAAAAAATTCTTGCTTGGGATGATGTGTTTGAAATATAAAATTATTCCTCAATCTTTATTAATTAATGTGAGGATGTTGCTGGACGGAAGAAATTGGTTCCAGCAAATACAAGTTTTATGGGGTTGATAAACCCTTGGTTTATCATGTTTTTAGGCCAAATTACATAAAGATTATATGGTAGGCTGCATGAAATTCAGGTGTTATATGATAAAATAATAAAGATTTGAGAATTGAGCTAATATTTTGATATCTTGCTTATTTTGAAGGTAAATCCACAAGATTTAGTGCTAAGAAGTGATAAAGGAATCATAAAAAAGATTTGAAGCTCAATCTGTCAACCTAATCAGCCAAGATTTGATTTGATTTGCCAATTGATACAGATTTGTAATATTTTGAATAAAAGCATAAGGAAATCAATCTTGATTTATTAATTGATAGAGATTCATGGGGAGATTGGATGGAGAATTAAAAAGATACGGCTTCAATGGTTATAAATAGGGAGCTGAGGGTGAAAGAAACACACCAATTCACCAATCCAGAGAATTACACAAAGATCTAAAGGAGGAATCGTGTTGCAGAGCGTTGGAACACTAAGGAACCAAGTCAACATCACACCAATGGAGGCTTGGGGTTCTCTTTTATTTACTATTGTTTTTTAATTCAGTATGCTAAGCTAGATTTTTATGTAGTTAGGGGTAGATTGAACCCAATTGAATCTTTATGTTTATGAATTAAATTATCTCTGAATTCTTTTCTTTTTATAATTGAATAAATTTATATGTTTTTAATGCTTTCTATGAGTTTGCTCCTTATAGAATGATTTTGGGGAATTGTATGACAATGGGGATGTTGGTGCATGAACCCTGATTTGATAAGTTTATCACAATCCTTGTGATATAGGGATAGACATATGGTAATTGTGCAATCTTGGAATTCTTGATCTTAATGCATGTTTTCTTGGGGAACTAGGGTTCTTTCAAGATCACATAGATTTAGGGTAACAAGGAATTGAGCCCTAATTAACTTAGAAAGAATTGATTGGCAATATATTAAGAACGGATTCTTGGCAGTTTAATTCATAACATATTGAGGAGATTGGAAGAAGTCGAAACCCTAACTACACTTGTTTTACTTCGTAATCAATCATTATCTTTTCCAATTGTTTTTTTTTTCTGAATTTTTAATTGCATGTTATTGCTTGTTCTTAATTTTAAATTCTTCAATTACAATTCTCTTCATCTTATTCTTGATTGTCCAACTAAACCGCGATTAGCAAACTAGTGCTTGAAAATCCAATCCTCGTGGGAACGGTCTCGTACTCCGGTACACTTTTATTACTTAACGACCGGTGCACTTCCCGTGTCGCAACAAGTTTTTGGCGCCGTTGGCAGGGATTGGATCCTTCAACATTAGAAGTAACTAAAAACTATTTAGATTGGGCGTTTTAAATTTCTGCAATTTAAATTCTTCATTAAATTTAATTTTTCTTTATTTTTTTTAAATTTTTTTAATTTTTAATTTTTTTTTTAATTTTTTTCTGCATAATTATGCATTTTCTACATTATATATATATATTTTTAAATTTCTTGTTTTCTGCATTTTCTGTTTTTCTGCATAATCTTTTACTCTTAATTTATGCGAGATACTGTCAACTCACGATCCTTGCAGTTTGATCCTAAGATAGAAAAGACAGCCAGAAAACTCAAAAAAAGCGCAAAAGAAAGAAAAGCAAAAGAAGCAAAAGCATCAAGCTCGACGGAACCAAAGGAAGAAACTATGGCTGACAACAACGCGATTTAGAATCCTCCCAGAACTTCGGGAGATTACATGATTCCAGCCCAAGTTCCGCAGACGACGAGTATTGTTAGACCCCATGTGGAAGCTAACAACTTTGAGCTCAAGCCAGCATTGATGCAACTGATTCAAAAAGATCAGTTCGCTGGAGGAAGCACCGAAGACCCCTACAGTCATCTAGAGAATTTCTTGCTCTACTGTGACACCTTGAAGATGAATGGAGTCTCATGTGACGCCATCTTGCTCATACTCTTCCCATGTTCACTGAAGGAAGAAACAAGAGGGTGGTTGCAGTCACTGCCTCAAGGAAGCATTACCAACTGGGATGATTTGGCGACTAAGTTCTTGGCCAGATTCTTCTCAGCTTCAAAGATGGCAAGGCTCAAAGCAGAGATCATTGTTGTTGAACAAAAAAAAAGTGAATCCTTGTACGAGGCATGGGAAAGATTTAAAGGACTACTCCGAAAGTGTTCTCAACATGGCATTGCGGCTTGGGAGAAAAGACGAATCTTCTTCCAAGGAATGACGCCAAGTACAAGAACCTTGGTGAATGTTATAGAAGGGGATCATTGAAAACAAAAACTCCAAAGGAAGCGCTGGAATTGCTGGAATCTTTAGCCTCTCAGGAGTTCGATAATGCTCCAGTCTCACAAAGGAGAGCGGGAATCATGAAGCTTGATGGCTATGATGCGCTGTTGGCCCAGAATGAACAAATATTACAAATAAATAAGAAAAAACAAGCACAAATTGATGCTCTCACAAAGCAATTTGCCAGTTCTCAAGTCTCTTCTGTTAACACTCCTCAAGTTACTCGTGGGATATATGCAAATGCCCATGCTACTGAATGTTGTGATTTTATGAAGGCACCTGAGAATGCTGAAGTCAACGGAATCTGGTATAATCAAAAGAACTAGAATAATCCGGGGAGGAACCAATATGGAAATAACTACAATCCAGGGTGGAAAAATCAAAATTAACACCCAGGGTTTAGTTACAAATCAAATCACCAGTTGAATCCTCCTCTACCAGTACAACAACAACCTCCACCACAAGGTAACACTTCAGAGTGGGAGAAAGCATTTGCACAACTATCTAAGACCACCTCAGACTATATTCAAAATGCAAATGCCTTCAGAGATGAAACAAGAGCTTCATTTTGAAACCAAGAAGCTTCTATCCGGAATCTGGAGACTCAGATTGGCCAGTTGTCAAGGCAATTTGCTGAAAGAACTCAGGGCACCTTCCCGGGAGACACTATCATTAATCCTAGAGAGCACTGCAATGCAATTATCACAAGAAGTGGGACAGTGATTCAGCCTTTAGAGAAACATCCTGAAGAAAAGAAAAAGAATGGAGAAGCACCCGTTGAAGAAGAGAAGAAAGAAAAGGCAAAAGATACGATTGAAGTTGACAAGAGCAATCCTGAAAATGATGAAAAGAAACTATTCAAGTGGGAGAAGAAGAAAGCTCTAGAAAGACAGAACAAGCCATTGGATCTCTCCCCATATGCTCGAATCCCTCCTCAGATATTAAAGAAAGAGATTCAGAAGCAGCAGTATTCAAAGTTTCTAGACATATTCAGGAGGTTGCAGATCAACATTCCTTTTGCCGAAGCTTTAGAGAACATGCCCAACTATGCAAGGTTCATGAAGGATCTATTATCAAGGAAGCGTAAGTTGCAGGAATGTGAGACGGAGAATCTGACGGAGGAATGTAATGCTACCATCCAAAAGAAGTTACCTACCAAAGTCAAGGATCCAAGGAGCTTCAACATTCCATGCACTATAGGCAAAATGGAAGTGGACAGCGTTTTATGTGATCTTGGAGCTAGCATCAATGTCATGCCACTCTCCATGATGAAGAAGCTGGGGATTACTGAAGTGGAGCCCACAAGAACAATAGTTCAACTGGCTGACCGCTCTTCAAAGCAAGCTTATGGCATCATTGAGGATATATTGGTAAAGGTAGACAAATTCATCATTCCTGTCAATTTTGTCATCCTTGATATTGAAAAAGATGCCATTATTCCTATAATTTTTGGAAGACCCTTCTTGGCAACTTCAGGAGCACTGATTGATGTACTTAAGGGCGAGCTGATCTTACGGGTAGACGGAGAGCAAGCAACTTTCAAGTTCTTTGACAAAGAAGTCCCCCCATCTGTAGCTCAACCGGAAGATCAAGTCTACTATATTGGTGAAAAGAAAGGTGAAAAAGAAAACAATGAGGAGTCTTCTCAAGAAAGTAAGCCAAAAGTTAAGATGGAGAAGCCCATGAGCAAGGAAAAGCATATAAATACCAAATTCAAAGTTCTTGAGGCTACTCCATCTCACTTATATGCACAAGAGCACTATGGGAGGACACACTTTCTGAATGATGGATCTTCGTCATCACCAAGCTCATGCTTTGAGCCACCATGAAAGTAGATCGGGTACGTCAGGCTCGTGACGTTAAACAAGCGCTAATGGTAGGCAAACCCACACTTTACTGTTTTATTTTAATTTTACTGTTTTAGTTCTTTTTACTTTGAATTAAATAAAGAGAAAATTACAAAAATATAAGAGAAGGTGTTGAGACTAATGGTTTTCATTGGGTGAATTTTACAGGTGAAGAAAAGGGAACAAGCAGCAAGAGAGTGACTAGTTGTTTTTATTTCTCGACGCGTTTTCTTTGTACATTTAAATTTGTTGCTGAGGGCAGCAACATTTAAATCTGGAAATGGGGAACGCGCAATTCATCTAAGCACAATTGAGTAAGCTGAAGGAACTTCATGAGCACACACGGAATATCCAACTAAAACAGGGAACTATCTCAAATCCTTTCTTCTTTGATTTAGCTTACATTTTTTAATTGAATTTTTAATATTTAGTTTGTTTTGAAAACCCCAAGCCACTATTTTTCTGAAAATTGAGAAATTTTCTCAGTGCAAATAAATGGAAGATTGGTAAGAATTTTTAATCAATAATTGATTCAGAGCATGATGATGCACTTACATTAATTTTCATAATGAGCATCAATGTAATAATTTTCATGATTCATTAAATATTCTCTTTAGTGATGAAATTTTTTAAGATAAAAAATAGGGGAATTACTGTGCATTCATAGCCGTGAGGTTTTGAGCCTATACAGAAAATTTTTATTGAGTGTGCATCCCACTATATGAAAGACTCTAGAACTTGCTTTGTTTCTTGCTTGAATTGGTATGTGATATATTCTATGGATATGATTGAGGCATGTCTTTTCTTTAAACTAGATGGCCAAATAGCCAACCATTGCTGACATTCCTTAGTTAAACCCTTTTGAGCCTAGGCCTGTTTATTCTTTGAAAACCTATGAAGATGAATAAACCACTTTCCATATAAATCCTCACCTTATTTGAGATTAACTTTCAGATTTAAATTGTGGAACATATGTTAATTGTTGATTATATAAATTGTGATGTATGAGAGTACAGGGAAGAAAAGGCAAAAGCCAAGGAAGTAAGATTGGTTAGAATGAAAAAGAAACAAAGAATAAAGAAAAAAGGAAAATTACTCAGAAAGAGAAAAAGGAAAAGAAGTTAAAATAAAGAACCAAATTGTTCTGAGAAAAGAGAACGACAAAAAAGAAAAAAGTTCAAAAGAAAGAGAAGAAGAATAGACCAAAAAGAAGAAAGAAAGTTGTTTACAAATTGTAAACAATTAAATTTATTCCTCTTTGAATTTGGATTTTAATCTTGAAGCTCATTCTCCAAATTTTCCCTTCCTTCAACTAGGCCAAGTATAACCCTAAACAAGACCTCTTGAACTATGAGATATGTCACAATAACTGTGGAGAGCGATAATATAAGCAAGCCTATGGTGGTGTTGATTCAGTGGGATACGAGTGAAACACCAACCCTCTAAACAGTTGAGTGGGAGTGAATTGAATTTCTAGTGAGGGAGTGTTTCAGGAAATTTTCCTTATTCTTGATCTTAAGAAATTTTTTTACAGCTTTTAACTGATGAATTATGAATCTTATTGATTGATGTATCATTCCTTAGAGTCTGAATGCTCTGTAATCATGTCTCTGATTGAATCATTTCTGTCAAATTCCATACAATTAAGAATTCCTACTCCCTATTCCTTTAGTTTTATTCTGATTGATTGCTTAGGACAACAATATTCAAATCTGGGAATGTTTAATAAACCCTTTGTTTACCATGTTTTTAGGCCGAATTACATAAAGATTATATGGTAGATTTCATGGAATTCAAGGTGTTATATGATAAAATAATAAAGATTTGAGAATTGAGCTAATGTTTTGATATCTTGCTTATTTTGAAGGTAAATCCACAAGATTTGGTGCTAAGAAGTGATAAAGGAATCATAACAAAGATTTGAAGCTCAATCTGTCAACCCAATCAGCCAAGATTTGATTTGATTTTCCAATTGATACAGATTTGTAATATTTTGAATAAAAGCGGAAGGAAATCAATCTTGATTTATTAATTGATAGAGATTCATGGGGAGATTGGATGGAGAATTAAAAAGATACGGCTTCAATGGTTATGAATAGGGAGCTGAGGGTGAAAGAAACACACCAATTCACCAATCCAGAGAATTACACAAAGATCTCAAGGAGGAATCCTGTTGCGGAGCGCTGGAACACTGAGGAACCAAGTCAACATCACACCAATGGAGGCTTGGGGTTCTCTTTTATTTACTATTGTTTTTGAATTCAGTATGTTAGGCTAGATTTTTATGTAGTTAGGGGTAGACAGAACCCAATTGAATCTTTATGTTTATGAATTAAATTATCTCTGAATTCTTTTCTTTTTATAATTGAATAAATTTATCTGTTTTTAATATTTTCTATGAGTTTGCTCCTTATAGAATGATTTTGGGGAATTGTATGACAATGGGGATGTTGGTGCATGAACCCTGATTTGATAAGTTTATCACAATCCTTGTGATCTAGGGATAGACATATGGTAATTGTGCAATCTTGGAATTCTTGATCTTAATGCATGTTTTCTTGGGGAACTAGGGTTCTTTCAAGATCACATAGATTTAGGGTAACAGGGAATTGAGCCCTAATTAACTTAGAAAGAATTGATTGGCAATATATTAAGAGCGGATTCTTGGCAGTTTAATTCATAACATATTGAGGAGATTGGGAGAAGTCAAAACCCTAACTACACTTGTTTTACTTCGTAATCAATCATCATCTTTTCCAATTGTTTTTTTTCTGAATTTTTAATTGCATGTTATTGCTTGTTCTTAAATTTAAATTCTTCAATTACAATTCTCTTCATCTTATTTTTGATTGTCCAACTAAACCGCGATTAGCGAACTAGTGCTTGAAAATCCGATCCTCGTGGGAACGGTCTCGTACTCCGGTACACTTTTATTACTTAACGACCGGTGCACTTGCCGTGTCGCAACAGGGGTCCACAAATTTAAAAAAAAAAAAAAAAGAAGCTCAATATCCAAAGTGTGTATAGGAAATTAGTTTTTCTTGTCCTGT